ATTAGAATATATATAAAATGTATATATATATATATATATATATATGTATATATATATATATATATATATATATATATATATATATATATATATTGTTTATTCGAATTATAACATAAATATATATTTATAAATAGAAAATAATTTTGTTTCAATTTATCAAGTGATGATATTGAATATATATATTCTATTTTAACATCATCACTTGATAAGACACCAGAGGTGCTTGAAACAAAATGGTTATTTTTGTAATGATTTTATAACATATTTATGTTATAATTTTCGAATAAATAATTATATTCGCTCTACTCTGTATTGAGCCCTTTTTAAGAATAGTAATTGTTGGTTATTGGAATTTATTGTGTATAAACCAATCCTATACTTGTATATATATATATATATATATATATATATATATATATATATATATATATATATATATTATTATTACCACTCATGATGATAATAAAAAGTAAAACTGAGAAACAGGCTAGCTAACCGGTTTCGTACCTCGCTCAATAGAACTAAATCGCCATTGGCTTCAACCACGGCCTCCAGGCGACTTCGGAATCTCTTGGACAGTCTCTGTTGAAACTTGACTAATGCATGGAATAACAACACAAAATGTATTGAAACAAGAAAGTATACACAATATTTACATATAGTCTTTTGTATAATCTTGGGAAGACCGTTCCTGGAGAATGTGTTGACTTAGTCGCAGTCGGGCAGAGTCTCTGGATTGAATCTCTTGATTTCTTCCCCTGTCCTCCCGGTACCAACCATATTTATATGGTCGGTACTCCACTATGCAAATTAGGTGGATCCTACCACAACAGTCTCCTTGTTTAAGTTAGTGAATGCTGCCATAATCCTTGTCCTTCAGTTCATCTTTGGTTTTACAAGGCTTTTTGTTGGTCTCTCGCTCAACTGCACCCCATGCATAATAATCAAGGGGGTTGCAGTCTGGGTTGTTTGCTAGCCAGACATTATCTGACAGCTATGACTGGCGTCTCTTGCATGGTGCCAGACATAGAGCCTTCCAGCGGCCAACCACTTGACCCAGAACAAGGAACTTGATGTAGACCACCGTGTTGAGTCAGAGGCCCTGTGGGAAGATGAATGCAGGCATAATGTCGCCATCATTCGTGATCACTCCAAACACCATGATGGAGACTGGATATGTCATCCAACTCTTTCAGAAACCTCTGCACTGTCCTCAGATTTATATCTAAATACTCCGAAATGTTCGTATTTGAGCTTCCGACGCGAATGCCAAGCAGTACAGTATACCATTTCAAAATCTCTGATGGAGCGAATTTCGTCATGGTGCTCTTTTTCTTAACTGACCCTACTATAGTGTGCAGTGGGCAAATAAAAACACAAACAACGAACAGGCACCAAATTAAACATATAAATTATGACAATTTACATATCGCAGCCTATATATATATATATATATATATATATATATATATATATATATATATATATATATATATAAGGGTTCACCCCAAACAAGGCGGGGGGAGCCACTAGGACGCAAGGGGTTACAGAAGATCTGGAGCAATATCAGATAGGAGTGATAGAGGAAAGGATGAGGAGAATGATAGTGGATAGATCAAGGCAACTGATGTCGATTGACATTACATTTGAATAGTTGGAGATTATAGCTCTCAGGGGAACTGGAATAGGGAAGGGAATTCCACAGGTGAGAGGTGCGAGATATGAAGCTATTGGAGTAGAAGAGACGGCTACATTTAATAGTTTCGACAGTGAAAGGATGAGAGCGGGATGCCAGCCTCATAGGGTGCTTAAACTCTGGGAACCAGCGAATGCAGCTCCTTGGAGCAATTGCCATGAAAGTATTTGTAAAAAAGACAGAGAGAGGCGACGACGTGTCTGTGAGAGAGCAACTGTAGATGAGATGCCAGAACAGGGCCAGTTATATTGCATATCCGCCTCTGGAGCTTATCAAGAACCCCGAGGCAAACAGAAGGGGCTCCAGACCATATATGGCAGAAATACTCCATGCAAGGGCGAATTGTTGATTTGTAGATCTGATATATGCATATATATATATATATATATATATATATATATATATATATATATATATATATATATATATATGTGTGTGTGTGCAAAAGAAAGTAATAAAACCTTTTTCAGACACAGTTTCAAATAAAAACGACAATAATCAAAAAAGAAAGAGAAAAAAGGCATGGAAGCAAACTTTCAAGACATTGCCTAAACCGAGTAAAAGCACCTACCAATGTTAAATCCTATGAAAGGGCGAAATATATATATAATATATATATATATATATATATATATATATATATATATAATATAATATATATATATATATAATTAATTAATAATTTAGAAATAATTTAATTTTTTGAATTTACGTATGTTATGAACACGCTTATAACGATACGCAAATTTCAAAATTGTTTATTCCTAAATTTTCGCTTGAGGATGAAACAGGGCTTGTTAATTTAATTCAATTTAATTTTAATAACTATATTGATGGTTTCGGCTCTCGTTTTTCAAACATGAGAACTCTTATGTAGTGAAGGTATCATATTTAAAAAAAAATTATAATCTAAGCTCTACTTCTGTATGGAGCACTGTTTTTTAAAAATAAAAACAAATATACTAAAGAAGCCTGGATTATTTACCTAACGTGTTCTTTTCCTATTTTTCTAAATACCTGCACACACACACACATATATATATATATATATATATATATATATATATATATATATATATATTTATTTACTTACAGGCTAAAGATTTTTGAAATATATATATATATATATATATTTTTAAAGGGTGTGTATATATATATATATATATATATATATCTTTCCAAAGGGTATTAGCCCGTAAGTGAAAGTAAAGGATCCGACTGGAATTCGAACTCGGCTATCTATTTCTCCACCGTGTCTCCGTCACTTAGAGCACAGGAGCCATAACCATGTCCCAGTAAACCCACGTTTCCTATTAGCTAACTCCTGGCCATTCTGTTGATGAACTCTTTTCTTCGGTACCTCGATATCACGCTTCAGGCTGGGAAATTTCCTCAACGATGGAGAAGAGACTTGAAGCAGCAGAATACTGTGAATTCCATGGACCGAACATTTTAGAGAAAATGGAAACAAAAAGGACACTTACACTTCACATCAGAAAGAGACAGTTGAAATTTCTAGGACGCATAATGAGGAAAGAGGGTCTGGAAAATTTAATACTCACAGGAAAGTTTGAAAGCAAGTGGGGCAGATGAAAACAACGCATAATCTACCTAAAGAGCTTGTGTAAAATAATGGCAGAAAGAGGTTTTAGAGATAGCACAAAGACAAAAAAGGAAATTGTGGGGAGCCATCATTGTCTAGAGGGATTAGGGAATAATGAAAAAGCATGATGAGAAAGAGAAAGAAAATAAAGGAGAGACGGGGAAATAATGATGGGAAAAGAAAGAAAGAAAGAAAGAAAAAAAGAAAGAAAGAAAGAAAGAAAAAACGAACGAACGAACGAACGAACGAGGGGGTAGATTTAAGAAAGAAAGAAAGAAAGAAAGAAAGAAAGAGAAGACGGTGAAACAATGATGGGAAAAGAAAGAAAGAAAGAAAGAAAGAAAGAAAGAAAGAAAGAACGAGGGAGTAGATTTAAGAAAGAAAGAAAGAAAGAAAGAAAGAAAGAAAGAAAGAAAGAAAATAAAGAAAAGACGGGGAAACAATCATGGCAAAAGAAAGAAAGAAAAAAAGAAAGAAAGAAAGAAAGAAAGAAAGAAAGAAAGAACGAGGGGGTAGATTTAAGAAAGAAAGAAAGAAAGAAAAGAGAAAAAAAGAAATTTAAACGAAGTAAACATAAATAACCAAAAGAAGAAAAAAGATCAAATGCAATAAAATAAATGAACAGAATGAAAATCAGAGAAGGAAGGAAGGAAGGAAGGAAGGAAGGAAGGAAGGAAGGAAAGAAGGAAGGAAGGAATGAAGGAAGGAAAGAAGGAAGGAATGCCGACAAAGAAAGAAACAAACAAAAAATATACAAACAAAACTGAAAGACATGGATAAAGGAAAAATATGAATAGAGTAAACATTAATAAGAAAAGAAAAGTAAAAAGTTAAATGCAGATCTATAAATGAAATGAATGAAAATCAGTGAATAAAGAAAGAAAGAAAGAAAGAAGAAAAAAATGAAGAATGGTATATAAAAAAAGAAAAAGCAAACAAAAGAAGAAAAAAAAAGAAAGATTTATGAACAAAGCAAACATTAATAACCCTCCCAAAAATTAAATGCAAATCAATAAGCGGACTGAATGAAAATAAGCAAATAAAAATGAATGAAAAAAAAAAATGAGAAAAACGAATAAAAATAATATAATAAATAAATTTAATATTATGCCAACCCCAGAAAGAGTTATCTCAAGACCGTGAATGAATATCAAATGTCATGTGAGCGGGCCGAGGCATAAATAGGCGAAAAATAATGGAATGATTTGAATAAAATTTGTATATAAGAAATTGAAATGGCGTTGCTTCTTACAATATTTCAAAGAAACGATTTAGAATAAGATTGTTTGGAATTATGTTTAAGGAACGCGCTTCTATGGGTTGGGGGAAGCCGCGAACGGGAGGGGACGATTTATTGGGGCGCTTCAGGACAGAATATTTAGCGGCTAAGACAGTCAAGAACGAAAAGATAAGACAGATGCAAATAAATAGAGAAAGACGGAAGGAAAAAAATGGCGCGAAAAAATAGAAGACATTTTGCAGAAATCGATCGGATTTTGGTGAGAAGAGAATGTTTGTGTTTGATTTGATAGGAAAGAAAGGGAAAAGGGCGTTTGAGAAGGAAAAAAAAGAGAAAGAGAGGCAATGAAAAGATAAAAAAAACAAACAGAAGAAAGAAAAAAAAAAGAAACGACGGTAAAAAAAAAGGCAAGAAAGATAGAAACAAACAGAAGAAAGAAAGAAAGAAAGAAAGAAAGAAAGAAAGAAGGAAAGAAAGGAAGAAAGAAAGAAAGAAAATGAAAAATAAAAGTAATAAAGAAAAAAGAGAGAAAAAAACAAAAGAAAAAAAAGAAAAATAGAACGAAAGAAACAAGAAAAAAACAGCAAATAAAAAATTGAAGAAAACAAGTTAAAACAAACGCTTAATAAGAAAGAAAGAAAGAAAGAAAAGAAAAAGTAAGAAAGAAAGAGGATAAATAAATAGAAGGAGAAATAAAGAAAGAAAGAGGATACATAAATAGAAGGAGAAATAAAGAAAGAAAGAGGATACATAAATAGAAGGAGAAATAAAGAAAGAAAGAGGATACATAAATAGAAGGAGAAATAAAGAAAGAAAGAAAGAAAGAAAGAAAGAAAGAAAGAAAGAAAGAAAGAAAGAAAGAAAGAAACGAGATACTTTAATTGTACGGAAAGAAAGAAAGAAAGAAAGAAAGAAAGAAAGAAAGAAAGAAAGAGGATACATAAATAGAAGGAGAAAGAAAGAAAGAAAGAAGGAAAAGAAAAAGAAAAAAAGAAAGAGGATACATAAATAGAAGGAGAAAGAAAGAAAGAAAGGAAGAAAGAAAAGAAAAAAGAAATAAAGAAAGAAAGAGGATACATGAATAGAAGGAGAAAGAAAGAAAGAAAGAAAGAAAGAAAGAAAGAAAGAAAGAAAGAAAGAAAGGAGGAAGAAAAGAGATACTGTAATTGTACGGAAAGAAAGAAAGAAAGAAAGAAAGAAAGAAAAGAAAAAGAAATAAAGAAAGAGGATACATAAATAGAAGGAGAAAGAAAGAAAGAAAGAAGGAATGAAAGAAAAGAAAAAAGAAATAAAGAAAGAAAGAGGATACATGAATAGAAGGAGAAAGAAAGAAAGAGGATACATGAATAGAAGGAGAAAGAAAGAAAGAGGATACATGAATAGAAGGAGAAAGAAAGAAAGAAAGAAAGAAAGAAAGAAAGAAAGAAAGAATGAAAAGAAAAAGAAATAAAGAAAGAGGATACATAAATAGAAGGAGAAAGAAAGAAAGAAAGAAAGAAAGAAAGAAAGAAAGAAAGAAAGAAAGAAAAAAGAAATAAAGAAAAAAAGAAATGAAAAGAAAGAAAGAGGAAACAAAATGGAAGGAAAGAAAGGAGGAAAAAAAAAGAAAAGAAAGAAAGAAAGAAAGAAAGAAAAGAAAGAAAAAGAAAGAAAAGAAAAGAAATAAAATAAAGAGGATACATAAATAGAAGGAGAAAGAAAGAAAGAAAGAAAGAAGGAAAGAAAGAAAAGAAAAAATAAATAAAGAAAGAAAGAGGATACATGAATAGAAGGAGAAAGAAAGAAAGAAAGAAAGAAAGAAAGAAAGAAAGAAAGAAAGAAAGAAAGGGAGGAAGAAAAGAGATACTGTAATTGTACGGAAAGAAAGAAAGAAAGAAAGAAAGAAGGAAAGAAAGAAAAGAAAAAAGAAATAAAGAAATAAAGAGGATACATGAATAGAAGGAGAAAGAAAGAAAGAAAGAAAGAAAGAAAGAAAGAAAGAAAGAAAGAAAGGGAGGAAGAAAAGAGATACTGTAATTGTACGGAAAGAAAGAAAGAAAGAAAGAAAGAAGGAAAGAAAGAAAAGAAAAAAGAAATAAAGAAATAAAGAGGAGGATACATGAATAGAAGGAAAAGAAAGAAAAAAGAAAGAAAGAAAGAAAGAAAAAAGAAAGAAAAAAGAAAGGGAGGAAGAAAAGAGATACTGTAATTGTACGGAAAGAAAGAAAGAAAGAAAGAAAGAAAGAAAAGAAAAAGAAAGAAAGAAAGAGGATACATAAATAGAAGGAGAAAGAAAGAAAGAAAGAAGGAAAGAAAGAAAGAAAGTTAGAAAGAAAGAAAAGAAATAAAGAAAGAGGATACATAAATAGAAGGAGAAAGAAAGAAAGAAAGAAGGAAAGAAAGAAAGAAAGAAGATACTGTAATTGTATGGAAAGAAAGAAAGAAAGAAAGAAAGAAAGAAAGAAAGAAAGAAAAGAAAAGAAAAAAGAAATAAAGAAAGAAGATATATAAATAGAAGGAGAAAGAAAGAAAGAAAGAAAGGAGATACTGTAATTGTACAGAAAGAAAGAAAGAAAGAAAGAAAAAAAATGAAAAATAAAAGTATTAAAGAAAAAAACAGAAAGAAAGAAAGAAAGAAAGAAAAATAAAAGTATTAAAGAAAAAAGAGAGAAACAAACAGAAAGAAAGAAAGAAAGAAAGAAAGAAAGAAAGAAAGAAAGAAAGAAAGGAGCTACTGTAATTGTACGGAAAGAAAGAAAGAAAGAAAGAAAGAAAGAAAGAAAGAAAAATAAAAGTATTAAAGAAAAAAGAGAGAAACAAACAGAAAGAAAGAAAGAAAGAATCAACAGTACAAAATACAAAACGCAAACAGAGAAACAAACAGAAAAAAAAGTTAAAAAAAGGAAGAAAGAAAATAACAATAAAAAGACAAAAAACAAAGTTAGAAACAAACAAAAGAAAGAAAAAAAAATAGAGCGAAAGAAAAAAGAAAAAAACAGCAAATAAAAAATTGAAGCAAACAAGTTAAAATAAACGTTTAATAAGAAAGAAAGAAAGAAAGAAAGAAAGAAAGAAAGAAAGAAAGAAAGAAAGAGGACACATAAATAGAAGGAGAAAAAAAGAAAGAAAGAACTTAAAAAAGAATGGGAAAAAGACGAAACAAAACTGAAAGATCGTTAAATTTGTACAGAAAGAAAAAAAGAAAGAAAGAAAGAAAGAAAGAAAGAATGAAAAAAAGAAAGAAAGAAAGAAAGAATGAAAAAAAAAGAAAGAAAGTAAGAAAGAAAGAAAAACAAACAGAAAGAAAGAAAGCTATAAGCTGGCAAAATAGCCGAGGAAAATAAAAATATCCAGAAAAAAGTAAAACAAGCAAAAAATAATATATAACAAAACCCGAAAAGAACAAATATTGATAAAAAGAATCCGAAATTCGATGAAGTGATAAAAAAATCATTATTTTTTTAGAAATTGTTTCGAATATTGCTACACGTAATTCATCGTTTGAACGATAGAAGAACGCTTGAAAAATTATTGCAGTTGAGTAATAATAATAATAATAATAATAATAATAATAATATGTATTTCTTTCGACGATTAAATATTCGGATGATTTAGAGAGCGGAATATGTAAGTTATATGAAAAGCTATTAGAAAGTGAGAAAAAAAAAAGATGGCGGAAAAGAGATAAATGTTGGAGCAAAATAATTGAATTTAATATCAATTCACAAATATCTGAATCTCCATACATATGCACATCACGAGTTATATAGAACGAATGTTATTATGCTTTGTTTCATTAAGCGGAAACTCCCAACTTCTGTAAACGATTGACAGGCTTTATTTATCCTAATAATTTAATCAGCTGCAGACTTTCAGTTACCGAAGCATAATAATGTAGGCCGGGACAATAGGCAGTTAATTTCTTCGGCCTTCTCTTTCAGTCAGCGACAGGAAAATTGAAGTAATGAATTATATGGATATGTATGTCTACAACCAGAAATCACAAAACTTTTCAAGACTCTCTCTCTCCCTCCTCCTCCCCTCCTCTCTCTTTTCTATCTATCTATCTATCTATCTATCTCTGATGTCTACCGTATGGTAATTACTAAATGCATTAACGGTCATAAGCTCGACAGTGGCTCTTAAAGCCGGCAAACGAGTTACAAGTTTTATTCCACAGACGGCTAACCATCTTTCACGTGCATTTGACTTGTTAAACCAACGTTAGTATAAATTGTGGAGTCCCGAATTCAAGGATAGACGAAATGTCCATTGGAAGATAGATAGATAGATAGATAGATAGATAGATAGATAGATAGATAATGAACAGACTGGAACAGATAGATAGATAGATAGATAGATAGATAGATAGATAGATAGATAGATAGATATGAACAGACTGGGACAGATAGATAGATTGATATGAACTGACTGAAACAGACAGATAGATAGATAGATAGATAGATAGATAGATAGATAGATAGATAGATAGATAGATAATGAAATAGACTGGAACAGATAGATAGATAGATAGATAGATAGATGAATGGATAGATGAATAATGATAGATAGACTGGAACAGATAGATAGATAGATAGATAGATAGATAGATAGATAGATAGATAGATAGATGAATAGATATGAACAGACTGGGACAGATAGATAGATTGATATGAACTGGACTGAAACAGACAGATAGATAGATAGATAGATAGATAGATAGATAGATAGATAGATAATGAACAGACTGGAACAGATAGATAGATAGATAGATAGATAGATAGATAGATAGATAGATAGATAGATAGATAGATAATGAAATAGACTAAAATGGATAGATATAGATAGATAGATAGATAGATAGATAGATAGATAGATATGAACAGACTGGGACAGATAGATAGATTGATATGAACTGACTGAAACAGACAGATAGATAGATAGATAGATAGATAGATAGATAGATAGATAGATAGATAGATAGATAGATAGATAGATTAATGGAACAGATGGATAGATGATAGATAGATAGATAGATAGATAGATAGATAGATAGATAGATAGATAGATATGAACAGACTGGGACAGATAGATAGATTGATATGAACTGACTGAAACAGACAGATAGATAGATAGATAGATAGATAGATAGATAGATAGATAGATAGATAGATAGATAATGAACAGACTGGAACAGATAGATAGATAGATAGATAGATAGATAGATAGATAGATAGATAGATAGATAGATATGAACAGACTGAGACAGATAGATAGATTGATATGAACTGAGTGAAACAGATAGATAGATAGATAGATAGATAGATAGATAGATAGATAGATAGATAGATAGATGCCAGATGTAGGCTATTCATCGTTGGCGAGTTTGTCTTCTGGGTTCGCGGATGATGGATTTCCACGTGTCTGGTCAGTCCAGATTGACTGGAACACGACTTACCACAAGGTATACAGGTATAAACATAGTTGACCTGACAGGTCTGTTAGTCACAGCTGCGTCTCACTGTGGAAGGTTCCATATGACTGAAGGAGTCTACCTAGGATAAACAGATGCGATCGCATTCTGAACATGCAAATTTCGGAATATTTTCCTCCTTGGCTTATCATTTTCTAGCCATCCATACTTTCATACTTTCGATTGTTAGAATTTTTGTCTGCCCTGGGTATGACGATAAACTACGTCCAGCAGCAAGCAGCTCAGGAGGTTTTGAGGAGGGTGGAACCACCTCTTAATTGCTGGTGTTCCCAGATCCACCCAGACCCAGGGTCCCAGCTATGGGCAAATAGTTAACAGCCAAACATGTGTAAAATGCCGTAAAACAAAACAAAATAAGAATTTTTGTGGCGTTGAATTAATAATTATTTAGTCATAAAAGTGGTGGTGGATTCATATCTAATCAGGATTTTAATTAAAATTTAAAAACAAAAAAAAATAATGTCGATATAAGGTGGGGGATGAATCCGATATTAAAATCATTATATAAAGTGATCCCTCACTTTGTGATCTCGGTAATTTCTACACATTTATATTCCAGAGAATGTAAATAAATCTAAAAGACATGCCTGTGTAGCTAATCAGTATTCCACTGATTGATTGGTTTGTTTTCTACCGCTTATCAACAAACAATAAATTATAATGTAGATACAAAATGGGGGACCAATTCTTTATTACAATCATCACATAAACTGACCCCACACTTTGTGGCCATGGCAGTTTCTATACATTTATATTTAAGCAAATGTAAATAAATCTAAAAGAAATGCCTGTGTAGCTCATCAGTATTTCATGAACTGATTCGTTTTCTACAGCTTATCAACAAAGAAATTATAATGTGGATATAAAGTATGGGATCAATTCTATGTTACAATCAGTACATAAACTGATCCCTCACTTTCTGGCCAATTAGTTTCTACACATTTATATTCCAGAGAACAGAAATAAATCTAAAAGTCATGCCCGTGTAGCTAATCAGTATTTCCTTGATTGATTGATTCGTTTTCAACGGCTTATCAACAAACAAGAAATTATAATGTGGATATAAAGTGGGGGATCAATTCTAACTTACGATCAATACACAAACTGATCCCTCAATTTGTGGCCAGAGTAGTTTCTATACATTTCTATCCCAGAGAATGTAAATAAATCTAAAAGACACGCCTGTGTAGCTAATCAGTATTTCATTCGTTTTTTTTACAGTTTATCAAGTCTTTACAGGTTATTTAAAGCCAGAAAATATTTTTAGATTGTAAGGATTTTTTTTTAAATAATAAGGATTCAGTGAAACTAGTCGTATTAATTAACCAAACGTGCCCATTTTGTTATTCTTCTTTCTTTTTTTTTTACAGGCTCTCTTGAGCTTTCCACCAATTTCCTCTCAAATAAGTTTCCCCTGTCCCAATCATACACTCTCGTTGAAATTTTGTTTTTATACCTGGAGGTATATTTCGATCATTACGATTCCAATGTAAGAAATTATAACCATGGAATATAGAGGTTTTTTTATATTATATTCTTCAGCTCTATCCTGATCATTGGCTCTCCATAGATTCTATCCTCTTGGAATATATATATATATATATATATATATATATATATATATATATATTCCGTCAGTGGTAGAAGCTCTGAATTACACCAAAATCGGTTGGGTTTCGATCCCAGCTTGAGGTATTAAAAAAATCACTTACATTACGGAGCTGTGATACAGCGAAGCAGTACTGTCTGCGAATGACATAATTTAGCTCTTGAAAATATATTTCAATTGAGCATTGAAAGTTAATTCTACAAACAACAGTCACCTGCATTAATGCGAAGCTCTTCAGTAAAATGAATTGAGCACTATGGCTGCTTGGCGTCTATTTATGTTTGTAAAAACGATACACTAGATTTGGCTGACTTGCTCCTTCGAGTGAAGATGGCTCAGTGGTAGAGGCTCTGACTGAAACCAACATCGGTTGGGTTTCGATTCGGGCTTGAAGCATTCTGTTGTCTAGTCCCACTGAGGAGCTTAAAAAACAGTACTGTCTGCGAATGATAAATATATATGATAGAAAAAGGAGTATTCGGTAATTATATTTAAGTAATTCATCGAGTCTGAAAGAAACCTCAACAGAATGCAGAACGCACTGGACGGCCGTTTCGTCCTATATTTGGGACTCATCAAATTTACGCATCCACCGAGAATTGAAACCCTGACAAATTATTTGTCTGGCAAACATCACCGAGCCTCAAAATGAAGAGATTATAAATCAGACTCAATATATCTCTGTAACCCTAGGACTTTAAGAAATCTGGAACATTATTTACAACTAAGTCTAGAGCATTATGAATGCCGGTTCAATTAATGATGTACATTATAGAAAAATTATTAGGAGGATTTGATAATTATATTTAAGTAATTCAATAATTATATATATATATATATATATATATATATATATATACTATTATCTCCTCTCATTGTCAAATAATAGATTTTTATCTACGTAATATTTATTATCATTAATTTTTTAAATCTCAAGGTGCGTTTTGTAGGTTCCCCCTGAGAGGATGTGGTATTATGGTGTATGGAGGATTGACTGGTGATGGACGAGTTTTTGTGGTGAATGCGCAAATTGTAACGAGTGAATGGGTCGTGAATTGGATTAGCTAGGTATAAGACAGGGAAGACCGGCCTCAACTCCTTCCCTCCTTTTCGGACTTGTTTCATAAATATCAATAATCTATCTCTATATTATATATATATATATATATATATATATATATATGTGTGTGTGTGTGTGTGTGTGTGTGTGTGTGTGTGTGTGTGTGTGTGTGTGTATAAATGGCCAAGAACAGCATCAGATATATAATCCGGTGTTCTTATAGATATTTTTATTTTTTGAAATAGCGCTTTAAATTTACAGAGCATTAATATTATAAATTAATTGATTTAAAATATTTTAAATCAATTAATTTATAATATATATATATATATATATATATATATATATATATATATATATATATATATATTATAAATTAATTGATTTAAAATATGGTTTTTTTCGGCACACAGTTCCAACCATGTTTCAAAAATAGAAAGGAAACCCTGAATTTAATTTTTGCAATTAAATTAAAAGCATTAGTTCCATTTCATCTTCAAGCGAATTTTGGAGTAACTTTAAAAAATTACCGGGTTTTAAAGAAACAGCTAAAATCACGTTTCCATGGTTACAGAATATTCTACTTAAATTGAACAAGGGATGTCTAGATTTTCCTTATGTCAGTATCATTGTATCAGTTATTAGCCCCAATTTGGTAAGGGGTAGGGATGTATTTTTTGCAATGAAACCTGACATCAGTTGAATGGATGTCGTTTGAATTTTTTTTTTTTTTTTTTTTAAATTGTTAACGGCAAAAAAATTTCAACGTCATTTTTAATTTTTAAATTTAAAGATTTTCGGGTTTTTTTTTGTTTTTTTTCCCAATACTTTTTTTAACTTTTTCAAATATTCTCCTTTTAATTTTTAGTTTACTATATTCTTTTTAAGAACAGTTAAATGTATTAGAATCCATTATATTATGTAGGATTATTTTAACATCAAGTTTAAAAATGTATATGAGGTTACATTTTTTTTCCTTTTTTAAATTTATGACTATGACGGCAAAATGGTTATTATACATAAAAATAAAATTATCTATAAGAACAATTTAATTTATATTCTTACTGTTCTTTCTTTTTATTTATTTATATATATATATATATATATATATATATATATATATATATATATATATATATATATATACACAAATGAAATGAGAACGAATAAAATACAAATTCAAACTTCAACATTAATTTAAAATTAGGCTCAATACAATAGTAGAGTGATATTTCTTTATTATTGATATTGTTCAGAGCACACACACACACACACACACACACATATATATATATATATATATATATATATATATATATATATATATGGGTGTCCCAAAATAATGTATACACTCTTTAAATATTAATTTAATGATACATTACCGTGATGTGAGAACCTATATGGATGAAAATATGCAAAACAGATGGATTGGAAGAAGAGGGGCAGTTGAATACCCATCAGATTTGATACCCCTGGATTTCGTTCTGTGGGGGTTTCTAAAAGACAAGGGTTTACAACAGGGAACCTGAAACAATTGCTGAATTGGAACTCAAATATGAATATCCGTTTAAAAAAAAAATTAAACAAATTAATTAAGAATATCTCAGATTAAATCCATTTCCTAACACACACACACACACACACACACACACACACACACACATATATATATATATATATATATATATATATATATATATATATATAAGATTATCCTAAGAGCCAACAAACCTACCTCAGTTTCATTTACACGGATCTTCAGGGTATAGCTTCACCTGATCATCAGGGTAAAGCCGGCTTTACCCTGAAGATCCGTTTAGGTGAAACGTAGGTAGGTTTGCCTGGCTCTTTAGGATTATCTTAGCTTATCGCTCTACTTAGTGTATTGAGCACTTTATGTTGTTTTTTTTTTCTCGTTTTGGATTTTTTTTTCTTTGAACTTTGAGCTTAAACACTGGACGATTGTTTTCGCCTTGTTTTAATGTTCTTAGTTCTTTCTTTTTTTATTCCCCATTTTTTCCTCGGGTACCGATTTGTTCTACTGCAAATTGAGCTATCCGAGGTTTTTCCAAACGAGTACCACCATCTACATATATATATATATATATATGTATATATATTAAGACATTTTTATATTTCTACATTCTTTTTATAGATACAAATATTTAAGTAAATGCTCTGTTTTATTATAAACAGTATTAACAGCATTTACCGGCCTGAATGTCCGAGAAATTTTCATAAAAAATATTCGTCCTCCGACATGAATCGAACCTGTATCCCATAAAATGAATGTATAAACATAAAAATGTCTTTAAATAA